AAGACACTATTTTCATTGCTGCACAGAATTTCTGACTTCTCTTACAAATGAACTGTCACGCCAATCATAAGGGAAATATTAAAAGGCTTCCCAGGAAAAGCAGGACTTCCACGACAGTCAGTGTGTGGTACTCAGGAATGAAACAGGCATTAGGCTTTCCACGATCCTGCATTTACCCACATTCAAAGGGATATTTGGACTTTGCACAGTAGTAAGTGCCAGGCTTTATGTCTTCTGAATCAAGTATTTTAAGAAATATTCTGAGGGGAAAGCTGATGAACAATACCAGGAGTTCAAGCCACACGAATTATGAATACAGGAATAATCAAAGGGGTTTAGCGCATGGAAAAGTGTGTCAACCCACTAATAAACCACACAGAAGCCGTTACACACTCGGGGAACTCCCACAGTTAAGGTAGTTAGCTACTGCGTTATTTTTTCTTTTTGCCTGACAAATATTAGTATGTACCATACAGCACACAATGTGTACTGTGACTAAGCTGCCAGTTACAAAGGCTATGATTTGTTTTTTAGATTTCCTAGTTGAAAAGCAAAACAACATTTCATTCTAGTTTGTAAATGCAATCTGCAAAATACAATATAACTATCAGAGTCCTCTGCAAAAGAAGTAATTCTTTTGCAAGTAATCTAATTTGAAACAGCATGGAACACCATGCGAGCTAATTTATTTTTTCAAACCGGTAGTGACACAGAATGGTTTCTCACACTGACTCTCCAAGGTATTATGATAGTATGGAATTCTCTGTTTATTTCCTTCATTTTGGGGCGTTCAATGTTGTACCTGAAGAAGAGTAGTGAATTTAAGCCTGTCACCTTTTCAGATTTTTTTCTCCCCTAAACAAAAATGCAAAATATTCAGAAAGAAAGAAGTTACTTTTCCTTTTAAAGTGAGGAAATAAAAAGAAAAAATCCTGAGGATGTATGATCCTACAAATCGAGACTGTTTGCGTGCATTCAGTTTCTAATCAAGCAGGCCGAATCCCATACTCCACGACTTCTGCTGTCTCCCATTTGAAGGTAATTCCAAATACTGACACATAGCGTAATACACGCAAATCAACAAGGAAAGGAAACACCCTTGGGAAGAGGTGCTGGCTGCAGGACCTTTGTGGATATTAAGCAAAGATCTGTCACCACCATATGGTTTAGAAAGACATCCATGTGTTACCCCAATGCTATTCCTAGAGCACGAGACCTGTCCCTGTAAAAGCGCAGCTAGGTGTTCTTGGTACAATTCTCCATGGTACAATTTCTCCATCTGCTATTGAGAGCTGTCACTTACCCTAGTGGAAACCGGGATAATAATTCTCCCTAAACCAATGAAGTCACACTAAAATAAGCCCAGCACAGAGCAAAATCGACCCTCAGGATGTATGCCAAGATTCAAAGCCACATGGCAAAAACATACACCATACTAAACCAAATCAATTCTAAAGGTAGATGGATTTCAGGCAACCAGAGTTGCTTCCCCTATCCAGAATCTGAACTAGTTCTGCTGTAATGAAAAAAAATCTGCTAAAAAAACCTGTAGCCACACCTTAAATTACCAAACTCGCAGTTAATCCCAGGGCAGTCCGTGACAGTCAGCACGCTGCAGGCGGCTGGGGCACCCAGCCCTCCACTCAGCACCGGTGAGACACCCCTGGAGTGTTGTGCCCGGCTCTGGGCTTTCCAGGACAGGAGAGACGTGGACATACCAGAGAGAGTGCAGCAAAGGGCCACAAAGATGATAAAAGGGTCTCCTCCTCTGACATTGGAGGAGAGGCTGAGAGAGCTGGGAGTGTTCAGCCTGGAGAAGAGAAAGCTCAGGAGGATCTTATCAATGTGTATAAAAACCCGATGGGGGGAGTAAAGACAACAGCCAGACTCTTCTCAAGGGAGCCCAGAGACAGGACCAGAGGCAAGGGGCACAAACAGAAATACAGGAGACTCCGCTTCAACACAACCCCTCCCCACTTTTTTGGTGTGAGGTTGGTCAAACACCAGAACAGTTTGCTCAGAGAGGGTGTGAAATCTCCATCCACAAAACTTCTCTGATACCCGAGGAGTCAGCCGCTACCTGCAGTGGCCCAACCACTACATAAGCACATCTGAACTGCAATAAAACACTGACTTGTTACTGCAACAATGTTCTTGCGTTTTAAGAACAAAACTATCCCAAACTCCTCCGCTCAAAGTAGTGGCAGCTTCTCCCTCATCTACGCAGAAATTATGCGGTATTTTACAGTTAAAACACCTGTTTCACCTGCATATTCTTACGCAACTTTATAAAGACACAAATAGGTTTGCTTCGCTCCAGAAGTTTACAACACCCACCTTGCAAAATCTAAAACTAAAAATAGCACAACAGATTGCTCTAATCTCCCCTGTAGATCCCACACATCTTTAATATGTAGCTTGCATATCCCTGGGGTTTTTTTAACCAGAGTTGTAAAATAGAGACTCATAATTCATCAGCAAATTCCCTGTCAGATGCAAGGGTGAGGAGGTCAAAATATCTCAGGCAATGTTAAGTTACCTCCTGGCTGAGACTTACGTGCTTAATTCTTTGGGGCTGGATATCTGAAAACAATGTTTTCATATTTCGGGGCTCTGTGGCAATTTGAAACTTATTCAAACAATTTGAAAATAATTCAAATGCCTTCTTTATCCTAAAAGCCAAATATAAGTGAATTTTAAAAGCATTCTACCACAATTTTTCATCTTTTTTTTTTTTTTTTTTAATATGGAAAAATTATTTCTTTTTTGCAATTTAAAAGCAGCTAACTTCAGAAAACACATGAAAACGCAGCGTGTTCAAGGGTAAAGATAGTGCTTCACGTTGCTAAAGGCCCCCAAGAACACCAATGAGCAGTGAAGCTGGAGTCTTAACCTCTGCCTTAACAATTAAACTTGTGACTCATATAGTAGGACTGGTGTTTGTCAGGAAATATTTCTGTTTCTTTTCAACTGGAGCACAGCAGCAAAAAGGAAAGAAAGTTTTCCAGAAATCAAAAAATAAAATATTACTCTTTGCCTTTTCAGCAGTTCTGATAATTTTATTCTTAAAAATTAAAATATTCTATTCCATTTCCAAACAATATTTTTCAGAAGAGGCCTTGTTAAAAAGAGGTTCTTTTTCAGATCAACCATCTATCTCAATATATTTTTAAATAATCATGGTTCAAGAGGACGGGCTGTTACATTCCCTATCTCTCTAAGATTTTTGAGACCACATTATAAACCACTAGTTGCATGTGTAGTTTTATTATGAATGTGACTTCCTGCCTGGCTCTCAAAGTTAAACCCAGATTGAAAAAAAAAAAATATCGTCCAATCATTATTCATATCATAAGAAGAACTTTAACACAATTAAAAAGATAAGATATATATACACATTCCTTTCAATGTGAGCGACGGGTGGCTTCTGGTCTGTCTGTTATTTTTTCTTTAAAGACTAAATACCAACAGCACAATATGCAGAGCCTTCATAATAAAAGCTTTTTCCCCCCCCTCTATAGTCAGCTTTGGGTCCGTTGTCTTTATCTCAGAGACAGCTCAAAACATAATTTTTCAGCCTCTGCTAGAAAGCAGACTCAAGCTCCAGAAAGGCCCACGTCTCAGAGACTGGTCACAGTGGTTTGTACAGCATAGGTACCAGCACCGCTGTACATTACTGCATTCTTCACATTACGCTCATGGACAAAAGCGGTGTGCTGTCCGTCCACAGCGCGGCTCCTCGGCGGGGCCCACGCGTCCCACAGGCTTCCACCACGTTGACAGCGGTCGGCAGCGTCAAAGGGCCTGGATTATTGGGGAGCGGGAGGGGGCACAATTAGTAAACAGGTATGGATGAGAAAGAGGGTGGAAAAGTAAAGCAAATGTAAAGACAAGAAGATTGATATGAAAAGGCAAGGAAAAAGAGCATTGCTGGAAGGTAAATACAGAAGGAAAGAGGCATGCAAGTATACATGTACATGACGATGCTGTCAAATAAACCCCTTTTCTGGTCAGTATCATGCACGTTTTTGCAGAAACCTGAACTGGCAGGTTAAACTATCTCATGTATACACTGTCTACATTTACCAAATGAAAAGCACTTCGTATTTCAAAGCACTTCACAAAACTGAGCAAGAACCATGCGCATTTTACAGATGGGAGAAAATAATGTTATGGAAGCACAGACCTCCCAAGTATATGGTGCATTTTATTTGCAGGAAGCTGAAAGGGTTTAAGTGACAGCTCTAAATGTACGCCCGAAACAAACATCTATAAGCAACACCAGTTTTCAAAGTCACTGGAAAATGCAGATTCCAGTACAAGTTTTTTTTTTAAAAAAAAAAAAAAAAAAAAAAAAAGAAGAAAACAGAAATTTGGAGAAATGAGCATTACTGTGCAGGAGCATACACACAAATCATTCACAATTTAGTTGACTAAGGGACTAAATACTGCTGAAGCAGCTGACTGTAGCTATACTTGATTAACATAAAAAACTTAGTTGGAAAATGAACCACTTTAAAAAAAGGTCACAATACAAACTGAGACCCTGCTTTCTAATTTTGCATAAGAAGGCATAACAGTTTGTAAATTTTAAATTTTGAATTCTTAAAATCAAAACCACAGAAATGCCGTGCACAGTTATGGCTAGTCTTTTGGAATAAAGCTCTCCAAAATCTAGAAAGAGAAGCAGAAGGAAAACACTCATCACTTAAACAGTGTTTTGAAAAATATTTTTATGCAGGAGCCCTTAGCTAGAAAACTGTAAGCCTTTAGGCACAAGCATCTCCAAAGCAGCAGAGATAAGCAATTTACTGAAACAGGTGAATTTTAAAAGACTTTAAAAAATGGACAAAAATCTGTTAACTATTGTCTGCATTGTACTAGAATTCTTCACTGGTATGTTTTGGGAGAGGCTGATGCAGGGTACAGTGAGGTAGCAAAAAAATCCTTGTAAAAAAGCACTCTCTCAAACTACTCAAGCAAGGAAATTCCTAACCAAACTTACTCCTTCAGTTTAATGTAAAATCCTAGGTTTAATGACCCAAATCCAAACGAAGTGGAAACATTGTTACTGTTCATCTAGAGGGGTCCTGGACAGCCCCCAGCTCAAATTCCACCTTCTCATGTTCCAGAAAGCCCAGTTTAACACTCCCGGCACTCCCAGAACAGCCAAGCAGCCACCACACGAGTTGGAAGATCACACGTGTTAAGGCCGGGAAGCAGTAAAGCATGCAGGATTCACAACAGCGGTAAATGATTAACGCTCAGGGATAGTCTTCCTTTAGAAAAGAGAGAGGATGTATATAAAGGTCACCCACGGGTAAATTCAGTGTTGGGTTTTGTGAAACCTCTTGAGGAAGTGACCCATGAATACTGAAGGTTCCAATCCTCAACACTTCGTTACATTATTTTCCCATTTCTCTAATTTAAACAGTTAAGTGAAAGCGATATCCACTAGCAAGCAAAAAAACCCCCCAAAACCCCACCCCTACTTATTCCCCAATAAGGAAAAAAATTAATCCTTTGTCTCATGTCCTATCTTAGCACAGAAACAGCTTTTTGAGAAAAGACTAAAGTTAAAGACACTGATTGTGTTCTAGGCTTTCCAGCCTTGCAGCTAATATTCCAGACCATTTTCGGACATCCAGACCAGCAGTTTTCCTGTACTGACAATTTTACAGGAAAAGAGCAAAGGGGGGAAAAAAAAAAAAAAAAGAAAAAAACACCCACTAAAATCCTTCCTGTCTGGCAAAGTACCTGCTACAATCTGGCACAATTGCTGTTGGCTGCTGCAGCACTAACATTCTAAATTAAAGGAAACATTGACATTAGGAAGGGATATAAGCTGCGAGGTAGCCAATACAGGCATCTGCCAAGCAGAGTACAGAAACTCAAGAGGTCGGGACCTTACTTCTAAACCCCTTCAATCTAACCATCTACAAAATCCCCAGTCTGAAAGATTTTGGTGTTCTCGTCAATCGTTGGCAAACTCTCTCTAAAAGACGACTATTTTTCTGACAGGAAGCAAAGATAATTCATGCAGAAACAGGCCAATTAAAGACAGCAGCAGTTGAAAAGAGATTTTGTTAGCAGCATCGAGACTTGAAGGCACAATAGCCAAGTCACAGCCCCCGCAATAAATACGTATGTTCTGACAATTATATCAACCTAACCCCACTTCCCATCTAGGAAAACAGAATGTAGCTCAATTGCTGACTCAGCTCCAAACTGTTGTCTTCTTCCTACAGCTGGATTTGCCCTTAATTACAGGCAGTACCGTTTCCAGGGAACACAATAAAAACCCCTTTGCCAGAAGACAACTGCCTTCAATAATAGTGATACATCTCTAAGAAATGTAACACATACGCAGTACAAGAACTACTCTCTCAATTAAAACTCATCAATTGCCAAGAAGCATGCGTTCTTTACGGCATACTGTTACATGCAGGTGTATTTTATATTCACTCCCACTCTTCTATAGAAAGGCTACATACTACGGCAGCTGGCATGTAAACTCAGAATCCTGGACAATGTTAAGACAGACAGGCTCAAGTTCTTAATCCTAAAACAGGCGTACCAAGACCAAAACTGAAACAGATTGGCTAGAGTCCTCTCTGCTTCTGAACAAAAGCAGCAGGATTTCAATAAGCCATGGAAGCCTTGCAAAGACTAGCAAGAACGCTAGCACGAATCAGGTACCCAAGAAGAGCTGTTTGGAGCGAGAGTCAAACGTTTCCACCAAAGGAAATACCAATTTCTAGCACGCATCTTGCAATTAGACCAAAAGAACAAAAATAAATCCATACTGAGAATGCTGAAGAATAAAGAAACCACCACCTTTCACCCACCACCACGGAAGGAATCGAGCGATCAACAGGATCTCACCATAGACAAGCACAGATTTCAGATACTAGACAAATCAAGGGCAAAAGAAAGAAAAACAGCATTGATCATATGTTCTGATTGAAACTTCAATAAAATGCAACAGATAAAGCAGAATTATCATCCCCTTATAATCTAAAATCCATAGCATTAAAAGTCTTTAATCAGTAAGGTTTACAAAATTAAAGTACATTTGTCATTGCACTGTTAGAAACAGGTATCATCTACTTCTAAGAGATACTGAAGCAAAGCAGGTTCCTATGCCAGACAATGGGAGGAGGATCTTTTCTCTTGAGGGCTGAAACTGCTTAGGATAAGAGCTTTTGTGTCGCTCCATTCCATCACTGCTGCTCCTGGAGAGGCTCACTGAAATCAGAATTACCCTTCCAGGACAAGCCATTCTGCCTCTAAATGCACAAGAAGCTGAAAAGGTTAAGATGACGTGTGCACAAGTACCGGGTTGATATATGTCAGTTTTGGTTTTGAAATAGCTTTGCAATATAGAATTACTTTAAGAAAAGATAAATATGGTACATTTATCTTCAGACAAATCATCCTCATTTTGAGATGCATCCAATCCATAAAAGAAATACTCTGATTACATGAAATCAAAGCTCTTATCTTCAGCTTGTGTAATTTTCCTCAAGCTTCCGTTCTCCCCAAGATAATGAAAAAAATCGGCTTGCTCATTTCAAAAAGTTCAAAAGAGATTCACAAGGATACTTGTTTACAAAGTTCTGCATTTTGTTAAGGATCAAGGTAAGTCCTTGGGCCCCATGATACCAAGAAAAGGGTTACAAGGAGTATTATGGCACATCAGGAGGACCCAGCTCTCTCCTAGACTTGAAAATGCTGGTCCTGATTTAATAATTTCTTCAGTCCCTGGCGAAATTTTCTTCATTTGGCCGTGCCTAAGCCTGTTGTCCTCACTTCCCCACACTACATTCACAGCAACATATCAGCTGCATCATCACTAACTTGATTGTCAACTTACGTTAAAGATACAAGGAAGGTAGCTTATTCAAGTGCAGATAAAGAAACAGTCACTTGAACCATGCATAAGCAAGCAAAATTCATTTCCCAGCAAAGCAAAACATACCACTTCTTGTCTTGCTGGCTGGCTCCTGGGCTCCTTGGAAGGTTCTCTATTTCCACTAAGACTGGGGCAGACGGAACTGCTGTTAGGACAGGTAGGTTTGGCTTTGCATTCCAGCTCTTTGGAGACAGAATATCAACAAGTAAGTTTCTATACGCACGTTAATGAAGTGATGACACATTATACATAACAAAACGTATCACCACTTCTCCGTAAGCACAAAGCTAAAACAAGGCTGTTGTCTTCCATTACTTGCACAGCACTGTTTGCCTATGCCCAGTCTTTTCCACTACTGCACACAGTACTGCAATCATCACAAATCCAAGGCTGCTCAAAGATTTCAGTAAAAAGCTATGGCCTGATGTGTCCTTTTAAAATTCATGCAGTAATGTTTTCCTTCTGTAGGTAACTTGGCAATAACGATTGGCATCTTTGGGTTGCAGGCCTTCAGACTGCTATTTGAAACATAACTGCTCCTGAAAAAAACAACTCCTTTTGCATAGAAGGCAAAAGGCTGGGCAGAGCAGCAATCTGTCAGCAGAGACTGAGTATTTTAATGTTAGAACAAACCAGATTCCTGTTTCCACCAATATGTTACCCTTTCTATTGCACTCTGCATCTGAAATACTCCAGAAAGAGAGACAGGGTCTTCCCAAACTCCAAATCCTGTTTTCTGATCCTCAGGAGAGTTAACTTATACTAACATCCCTTTTCAGTGAAACAAGGTATTCTGCATGCCAGTACTGAGGGGCAGGTGACTCTGATTTCCTTCTCAAACTCAGAAAACACTGAATTTTTGCTAACAATATATTCTTTAATTTGTAGGTGCATTCCCCTCTTTCAGAGAAAAAAATACTGTAACCAGGAATCAACATAAATGGTGATGAATTACACCCTTTTTTTTTTTTTGCATGTTACTTAGCATATAGAATTAATGTGCTTGGATAATAACAACTCTCACACAAATGTACCTTGTGTACTTACGAAAACCTGTATCTATAAATAGCATAGTTTCTATAGTACTGGGGCATGGGGTATCTTCCTTACTGCAGCTTAATTAACTAATTATCTTGCTTGTAAATTAGTAGTCATTTCTTGGCATGCAATTTAGTAGTTAACCATGTGTAACTTTCAGAACGAACAATGAAATCCTCGAATCTGTTGAAATACACAAAAACTGTCTTTAAAAAGAATTAAGTCTTTTGGAGTCCTTACTTGTGATCCATTAGTTTGGTTGGTAACAGCATTGTTTGCAGTACTGAAAGACAAAAATAATTTAAATCAGACTCAGATCAACAAACTATTTTTGCAGGCTGGCAGAATGGCAAGGATTTTCAGAAAGGAACACAAAGTCTAACAAAGATCTTTCCAAAGAACTTAACTGTTCTCAAAAGAAAACTTAAAAACTTACAGTTTAGATCAGCTACCTCATACTAGGTAACTAAGAGTATCACATTAGCTGTAGTTGTCTGTAATTCATCTGGTTTTTCCTCTTCCTTTCCTAAACCAGTTCAGTTCAGAAAGTGCTCCTGATTCAACAGTAAGGCGGGGCACTTTTAAAGCAAAAACGCTAATAGCTTTAGTTAAACACCCAGCAAAATGTGACATTGTCGAAACCTCACCCACACGCTGTAGATACGACGTTTGTTCCATAACTAGGACTCTCCTGAAGTTTCGCACCACAAAGTTTATCAGAAAAAAATCAGGAGTTTCTTCTGCATACAACTGCTAATGGACTGAATTACTGCTTCAGAGTCTTAAAAGCAGCCATTCAAAATTATGTGCACAGCAGCTTAGCACAGCATTGATATTTAATTTATTATAGAATCATAGAATCACTTTGGTTGGAAAAGACCTTCAAGATCATCAAGTCCAACCTTTAACCTAACCCTGCCATCCCACCTCTAAACCATGTCCCTAAGCACCTCATCTATCCTTCTTTTAGATACCTCCAGGGAGGAGGACTCTACCACCTCCCTGGGCAGCCCATTCCAGAGCCTGAAAACCCTTTCGGTGAAGAAGTTTTTCCTAATGTCTAGAGGGCGATCAGGTCTCCCCTCAGCCTCCTCTTCTCCAGACTAAATAACCCCAGTTCCCTCAGCCGCTCCTCATAAGACTTGTGTTCCAGACCCCTCACCAGCTTGGTTGCTCTCCTCTGGACACGTTCCAGCAACGCAACATCTTTCTTGCAGTGAGGGGCCCAAAACTGAACACAGTATTCGAGGTGTGGCCTCACCAGCACCGAGTACAGGGGCACGATCACTTCCCTACTCCTACTGGTCACACTATTTTTGACCCAGGCCAGGATGCCATTGGCCTTCTTGGCCACCTGGGCACACTGCTGGCTCATATTCAGCCGGCTGTCAACCAGTACCCCCAGGTCCTTTTCCACCAGGCATACTACATATTTAATAATATAAAATTATTAAGACCTATATCCCTATTCCTGATGATTTCTAAATCTGCAAAAGACATTTCACATTTTTGAGACTTAATAGCATTAACACCCTGTATAATAATTATGTGTTAAAAACCTCATGCAAAGCAAACTTTTTTTTCCCAGACTTCTAATATTTTAAAAAATTGTTCCAGTTGCCTACGACCCATCAATCTTTTGATTTACGGTCTGGACAATAGCTATCCAACCTGGCAAGCTTACAATTCAAATACATTTCTGTACCTACTTCAGAGATTCTTTAGAATTATTTTACTTAAATACCATAACGTCAAGACCAAACAAGCTGTTCCTTGCCTGTTTCCCAACTTCACACGTTCTCTACTGAGAGACTGTGGAGATTACCACAGAATAGTGCACATTTAACAGAAATATTAAGGAATGCCTTCTGGGTAGCACATTCCCCAGTGCTGAGTTAACACAAAAGAATGGAACAACATACATCTTTCATGATGCATTTCAATTAGCAACACTCAAGTGTAGAGTTTCAGAAATGGCATAGATTGTTCTGGAGACTAACATAACAGTGCCACACCTAGGTGCAGATCAGAAGACCTTATCTCCATCTTATCAGAAGGAGAAACTGCATATGAAGTTTCTCTTCCCACTCTCATAATGACCTAAGCAGCATTAAACTCTGAGAGGGGCATGACAATGCAGCATGACAAGAGTACTAATTAATCAGACAGTCGCATTTTGCATGCAGAGGATCTTTAAGTACCTTAATGACACCCAGTTTTGAAGAGTACTTTCCCATTTCATAAAAAGACAAGACAATGCAGAAGGTCACAGAGAGACCTCCACTACAATAACCACAGTCTTGTCCCCACAGTTCCTAGACTTCTCCCCCTTTCATGCAAGAATGAACCCTGCTGCTACAAACAGAAAATGTACAGTGTGAACCTACACATGCAGAAAAAATCTAGGTATAGAAATAAAGAACTAAAAGGCCTTTCTCTCAATGTTGATAATGAGTAATTTAGTATAAATATATATAAATAAATATTAAGTATATAAAAATAAATGCAAGTATAGTACAGAATATAAAATCATCAACATATCTCAAGTATTTATTTTATTGTATTCTCTCTGTGACCTTCAATTGATTATGTATGTCAGTAACATAGCCAGAGCACGCAGATTTCAGAAAGACTACATCCTCACATCCTTCTACCTGATCTCTTTACATGGCAGCACACAGAACTACAGCTCACATCCAGCAAGAATCATAGCTAGTCATGAACAAGCCTCTTTGCCTGCTAGTGAGCAAGTCTGGCAAAATCTTCTATGTGACAGCAACACAGGAGCTTTGCTTTGAACAGTAGGTTTTATGTAAAGCAAACAAACACAAAACCCACAGCAAAACCACAGTTAAGAGGTTAATGCTTTCTTCTGCAAACACGTGCTCAAGTACAGGTGGCAAACATCAAAGAGAAATTTAAATATTGGAACGCATCTTACCTTGTTTCTTCAAGTTTAGCAGCATGTGCTAAAAAATATGAAGTGTTAATTAAAATTCAAATTGTAATTAGGTTATCAGTTAAATATAAAACATATTATTAATAAAAATAGCCTAGGACTACCTAAAAGTAGGCAACTAGAAGAGCAAAAGTTGCATGTATCCCACGTCTAACGCGTGAAAAATAAAATCCTAAATTGGAAAAATAAAATAAAAAAATCTGAAGAGTAAACCAAAGAGTCAGATTTAAGCAAGTATCTGAAAGCAAGCATAGAGGTCACGTTTGACCTACGCAAGAGTGGGAGTAAGAGACAAGGTATCACATGCTGTCAGGTTGTGGCAAGAGTGCAACTCTTAAGAACAATGAAAAAAATCTCAATGACAAAAATTTCAAACTTGATTAATATATTTCAAATATTATCATTAATATATCGCTGTTTCCTGGACCCAAGTTTTCTGTTTTCATACAGAGACCTATTGTGCAATATTCATGCATGTTTTACGTGCTAGGGAAGCTGGAGTGACATGCTTTGGACACAAGATTTTTCTGACAAATATATCAAATAAGTCAAAGAAAGCCTAATTTTGAAAATTCAAGAGAAGGGCAAACAGCTACCGAAAAATTCCTACACAGAGCCTTTAACAGATATGATTACTTGATTCTCACAGTGGATTACGCTTCTCTGAATGGATGGTCTTTTACCTTTCATTTGCAGTGTTCGTCTTGAGTATCTCTTGCTGGGCCTTCTTTCAAAGGATGCTGATCTTCTGGCTTTGTTGGTCTTGGTGGTTTGATATTCTGTTTTCCCACTAACAATGCCATGTGGAAGTACAAAACAATAAATCACTTATTTTTAATGACAGAATGCAGACACTGCTCATCAAAACATCACATTTCTATTTTAAATTCATAGCTTAATAATCTGATCTCAGTTCTATTAAAGAATCCCAAACTTAACAGCTCAGAAGGCCTTTCACAAAAAAGGGAAGTTTTACAAACATCCTAATCTTCACCCCATTTTCTCATGACAAAAGGCTGAAGCAATGACTCATTAAACATTAAGTTGCTGAAAAAGCACATTTTGAAATTAAATGAACAGAGATGACAGAAGATAGGTGCTAAATGACAAATGACACTGACCTGTATCGGAACCGGGATCCTAACCGAATGAAGCCTGATCGACTTGAGCTTTTTTGGACAGGACCTCGGAGCCGGAAGAAGGCGTGATGTTCCACTGCACATTTCCACAAGTGTTTGCAGGCTTTGGGATGATCCAGTCTGAAGACAAAAGTGTGCTCCTGCTCCTTTCCCTTAAAGCACACAAAGTACACTGACAATTTACAAGGAGCTTGAGTAAGTCAAAGCTACAATTCAGTGCAAGCCAAATAAAATTTGGGTTTTATGAATACTGAAGTGTATGTTTAAAAAAAATATTTTAGGCAGAAAAATCAACCTTTTCAGAAGCTTTAATGAACAACTGCTCCATTGTCTGAGGTTGGAAAGGGCTAGAGCCCATATATTTAACAAGTCAAACCTCTGAATAACTACAAATTAAAATTATCATTATAATAGGAAGGTACTTCTCAATGAGGCTAACATGGTCTACTTTCCAAATCTGATCTCCTCAAATTACCAATGCTTACACTTTTATTATCTCAGCTCAGAGCAATTTCTTCCCATGGGAACAATCCTGACACCTGCTTAAGGAATTCATTCCACTAAATGTGGTACATGGCCTTTTTTTAAAAATTTCTTGCACAATGCATACTGTTTCCAAATTATCTGGTCTACAATAGTTTCACAAGGTATTCCCTTTTTAAAAACAGGGTGAGAAAAAAAGTTACTGAGCCTATTTGTTTTATATCTAACTCCCTTCATTCCCCTCCTCCCCCCAAGGCACAATCAAAAATCTTGCAAGCCATCCATGTTAATTCTCAAAACTTAAAACACATAAAGAGAGAGATCAGGAGTACGTAAACTAGTACTGTATAATCAAGGCCAAGATGTAACTAAACAGATAGTTATCTACCTGTTCATCATCTTCAACAACAACTAGAGTGAGTTTGTTCTTCTTGAAGTCAAGCCTTGTTATCTTTGGCCTGCAAGATGAACAGAAAAGGCAGGTTACGTCTAACTCTCTTCATAACTCACTGAGAGGTATGTTCGATGTGCTGGTCCAAGCCTCTCTACCAAATTTTTTTTTCTGTTTTTTGTGGGCATTTTAAGTTGATGCAGTAGGGCTTGATTATACTGTGGATACTAACATTTCACTTCAACATTTAGCACTTAATTGGAAACCTTAAAGATAAAAAGTCAGCAACTTCTAAAGAGATAATTCTAATCAGAACTTAAAATAATTACTTGAACTGAAATCAAACTCCACCCAAATACTCCTGCTTGCCTACTCTTCCACAAGCCCATAAAACTGAACTCAGAAAGACACAAAGGCAGGCCAAAATAATACTGCTTTATTAAAGAAATGTAAATCACTGTACAATATATCACAAATCAATTCCTGTGATGATTCCAATTCAGAAAACCCCAGCCAAAGAGAACAACGTGAACATGACATGACACAAAAATGCAACCACTTTCGCCCTCCCTGACTACCAAAAAAGTACCCAGAATTGATGGTGGAGGGACAAGACACACAGATAACATTTCTGCTACAAAGCAAGTGTTTTTCTGAGAAGTTGATAAAATTGGACTGGCTTAACTGAAACTAACTACTCATATTATGAAATTTTACCTCCTCATCTGCCCACTTATTCTTTGTATACGGTTTTGAAAGACTGGATGGGAATTACAGAATAGAGCACTTAAAAATCTATAACTGCCTGTATACCCAGACGCAAATATGCTATCTAGAAGGTTCTCTACCTTGTGTTTTACGCAATATAAAGCCCTGCAAAATTTCATCAGAATGCTTCTAAGAAACCGTGGGCTATTATTCAGGTATTTCACAAATAAAGAAGCACATGTTTGTAAAAACTAAAGGAAGCTCTATATCCCCTGACTATATACAGATCTGGTGGGGGGGCGGAAGGAGGTTTTTGGGTTTGTTTGGTTTTAATCATTCCTTACCGATGGGCAGCCTGCCCAAATGACATTATATATAAAAACTGCACTAGTACTATTGCTTCTACCTCTTTTTCAATAGTACGGATAACACTCAGCTAGAATGTCTGAAGAAGTATCATTTCACTGACTGGATACATACTCTATTTCCAAAGCAGTCTAGTGCAAAATACAACACACACACTATATAAAAAATAAAATCACGCCAATATAAAAAATAAAAACATCCCAAAGTTATTCCATCTTTTACTTGCTATTAGCATGTTACACATATACATTTGATTGATATGAACATATCAACCAAGAACGCTAAAAAAATAGTATTTCTGGACACCCATGAAAACACTCACAGGCTACAGAATATTTCTGCAGGTACCTAGTGTTCACGGTGCTCTCATATCCCAAACAAATATTTTTATTGGCTAGTGCAAAAGAAAAGCGTAAAAATCTAAAATATATTTTAACGTACAATCAGAGAGCTTACCAGAAAAACAAACCAATCTTTGTGTCTCCTTCAAAGACAAGAACTCCTGTAGGTGTTAGTCCCAGGCTGTAATCATTGCCGTCTCTTGCCTAATTGCCACAAAATAAAGATTATGTTCATCTTGGTGTTTGACCCTTTATCCAAATTACTCCAGTGATTAATGAAGCTTTTTTGCCTAGTGTTACAATTAAACAAATATTTGTTTATTTTATACAACAAAACTCTTGTGTTCCAATGATCTTATGCAATGGATACTTCTAGTTTGCAAGCCTTCAATAAGGCTGAGTAAAGTGGAAAATTAAAGTTTCTTGACCTGTCCGTGTAACAAGGACCTCCTTCTGCAGTTCTCTGCACTTCCTTCTCCACAGGAGATCTATTTTTACTTGTAGTTCTTCAGCTGGTAGCTGACTGGACCCCAGCCATTTTTAATTTAATTACTATGATTTTCACATAGCTCTTAGTCTAAATACAAACTGCAGTACATATTGCCACACCAATTACGTATTTAACACAGAGCAGATATGCTTGGACTAGAGTTGTACCTTCTAGAAATGTATACTATAAAATGGAATGTTGATGCGAAGCCAGATCACTTGTTACACAGTTTAGATGAGTCCAGTATTCCTTCCCGCCCCCCTGCACAGCAAAACCAGTGTTGAAATGCAGGACAAAGCTAACATTATCATTGCCATGGTCACCGTGCTGTGGTTAAACATACCTTGACTATGTGCATGTCTACACCATACATTTCCAGCCACTTAGCTTTGTTTAAGTAGTTAGTTTCAGCCTGTGCTGGTGTTTGCCCCCTGAAATAAATTTTTGCTGTTAGGTAGGTGTCTGAAAAACCACAGAAAGGAAAAGCTGATATACGAGGAAAGAGGGAAAGAAATTCCTGAAAGTTTGTGAAAAATCTAATCACTGCTGACACTTGTTAACTTCATGAATCAGTTTTAACCTGAAACCGCTGCTGCAAACATTATTGCATTTCAAGATTCTGTACCTCATCATTTTACTCAGACTTTTGAAAAGCTTCATTTTCACATTATATCCTCTTACAAAATATGATAGAACCGTAGTAGAATTATGTTTCTGAACAAGACCACAGAAGAAGTGTAAGCAGCATCTTTTTAATACATTCTCTTCACACAAAAATCAGTGCAAACAGCTGTTTAGAATGCACAGGAAGATCTAGTACCTGCATTCCTTCCACTTCTCAAAAATGGCCAGTTCCATTTCTTCAGTCTGAGTAGGAACAAACCTGAACTCAGACACCAGTTCAGGCTCTTTTTGTGTTCCTCATTTCTCCTCCAGTTGTCCCAATATTTGAAGTGTTACCTTTTTTGACAGGGAAAATACAGACACTGAACAAATGTTCATGTTGTCTGCACAAAAGCTTTGCATTAAATTTTACAAAGTGCTATTGATATATTCCTCAACAAGCTTCCTATAAATGGAAGTTATCAACATCCTTGAAACTCACCTTTTTTCTTTCTTGTAAGAAAGTTTTCAACATTTTTAGCACTGAAGTCTCTACTGAGATGACAGCTGACTACACTTAAAATGGAATTTTGCCTTAAATTATTAAACAAAATCTCTTGAGATTTGTGAAAAAGCAAAACCCGTTCTGACACTTTTCATAAAACTATTTGTCCATTCTGAAAATCAGTTTCTGGTTTTATGATTATAAATCCCCGTCCTGCTAAAATTCCTCTGTGTCAGGGTACAATCATACAGCTGTTATTTGTTGCTCTCCTTTTCATGTAAGAACATAATAAATACACTACTGGGCCAGTCAAACGGCTCATCTAGCCCATTCCTGCATGCTCAATAGGAGCATAAGAGATGCTATTTAGAGAGCATACTGGAACATTCTAGTCAACAGGTGTGCCACATCAAAAGCACAACCTCCTTTTTCCACAGATGCTAACAAGTCCAGCTTTTAAAAATTGATTTATGCCTAAAATACTGAAACTCACAGGTAGAAACCTTTATAAAAACGTCCTGATTTTCAGAGTCAATAACATTTGCTACTCCCACTGATTTCAAGCAGCTTCTTGATTTTCATTTCATATCCAAAAAATTAGGAATAATTCTGTAACTTGGAACTTGTGTGCCTGATACAGGCCAATAATTGTTCTGTCTGAAATCTGAAACTACAGGTGTCTGTGTAAGAGAAAATAGTGACTTTCTTTGGGAAGACCTGCAAAAGTCAAATAAATACACACAGTATTCCATAGGTACAAAAACTACACACAATCTAAACCGCTGTTTCTTGGATTTCAGAACACTGCAAGCATTTTTTTAATTTTTTTTTTTTTTTTAGCGCTGACTGAGGAAGTCTGTAGTTCTGTAATAATTTACTCCCACTAAAACGCCTGCCTCTGTTGAAAGGAATGCTGTCAAAGCCAGCTTAGGTTCCAGCTGATTTAAATAAAAGTACACAGCTGTCAGACAGTAAGATTAAAGCCCTGCTACGGGCCTCATTGTGGGAAGAGGAAAGAAAAGACCAGCACAAAAAGCAATGGAAATATGGCCTAATTAGATCACTTTGTTTTTCCAAAAACTTATCCACTGAACCCATATCTTAAGGCTCTAACAATGCTAATATTTTTAACTACAGAATTCTAACTGTTTTCCTTCCACACACAAGAGCAGGTCAAAAAGGCAGGTATCTTTACAGTTTAATCCCAACTCTCTATACCCACACGTGATCAGGGCCATTATTTGCTCCTGCCTGAAGAACAAAACGTGTTTTGGAAAATATCTTTAACAGGAAGAATTTCAGTGACTCAGTCCTGTTACTGAACTCCTGCAAAGTTAAGTACAACAGTGTGTTGGTTTATAAGATGAATGTTGTGTAGATAATTTGTGCAGCACAAATGCATGGCACATCTCCAAATTCCCTCTTCATCAAAGAGGACTGGACAACAGCTTTACAGCAGAGGTTCGGGGATTTTTTGTAGACTCATAAACTGGGTTGAATAAGGCCATATAGCTATATACTCCAATAAGGACCCAAAAGCCTACTCTAGCAGACATTTCTAAAACTTCAAGCCTCCCCTCTTTCTTTTGTGAGTTCCCCTGCTTGAAACCACAGCAAACTTCACATTCATTAAGACCCTCATCCAAACAACAGAAGACATTGGCCATGAAGAGCAGTGATGTACAGCCTATACAAGCAACTGAAGGTCAGACCACAGCTCTCAGAGAATCCATGGGTGCTGGAGTCTCAGCTGGCATCAAAAATTAAAGGCAACTCATTAATAAGAGTCTCAGATGACTCAAGCATAGCGCTGTATCGCTAAGAAAAACTATTATGTGACCTCCTTTGGCTGAAGAAGGATCTGAAATACCAAGTGCAGTTCGACTATAAATGTTCACATACAAGCATGAGACATGGGGCACTAACATGTTTCTACAAATAAGCTGAAGTCAAAAGCTGGTGGTTTTTATACACAGGACTTTTCAACTGAGTGCAAAACCAAAATAATTTTGTACCCGATTTGTACAACAAAGAAACACATGGCAGAAACTACACAATGAAAAAAAAGTGAACTGTGTTACTACATCAAAGCAATTAATGAGGAGCAGACCTCGTATCCTGTGTGAAAGTGGACAAGTTTGCATACAAGAACCTCAGAAAACAAGTTTAGAGCAAAGCTGTTTAAGTTCAGAACCTCCTTGTTCTGTGTCCTGACCAATCAAGTAATTTTCTATACATGCTCTCGGCAAAATTACAATCAAAAAGAGCTGCATTTCACACTGGATCACTATTGTCTGGGCAGAACATATTTTCTCAATATAACAAGGACAGACTAAAAGAGGTAATAAAGCTATTCATGCAACTTCATCCTTCCCCACTCATACCTACTCACCTTGCATGTTATAAGCTGCCAACTGGACGGCTGTGTCAAAAGGACATTCCAATCTGCCGTAAGAGAAGCGCATTGTTAAAACCTTAGCTGACACTATTTAGCAGACAACTCAGACATGACAGTGAGAAACTGAAGTGCTTGGGATAAGAAAGTGAAAAAAGATTAGAAGATTTTCAGCAAATTAGCAAGAGAGAAGCACTACATTATTTAAGCATTCCTCTGCTGCTGTTCATGCATAGAAAAGTAATATTTTAGAGAAAAAATAGTATTACGTTACTTAGCAAAAATGTATTAGTTATCCAAATATAAGTTTAATAAAACCTATGCTAAACACGCTGTAATTGTTTAAAAGGCTGTTTATTAGGAATACTTACTTTCCACTAAGAATATCCAGTTTCAGCTGCAGAACAAATAAATACCTGTAGGATTAAAAAAGAAATAACTGATTAATAGTTCTAATGTGTCACTCAGCCAACAGGAGGAAGTTACAGCCTGGCCAATAAAAACATTTTCTACTCTTTACATGGGTTTTCAAGACTGAAGAAACTTTACTGTGATCTTTCACGGCTTTATCAGTTGCGTTTGTATGCTTTGCACACATTTCAAGTGAAGTAAACCCAAATCTAGAAGTTTTCACAAGCTGAACTACAGTATTGCATGGAAAAAGAAATAGGATACCTATGCAAGTATTTTTTTCTCTTCTGATCCTACTTGGGCAAAGAACAACTTGCATCTTCTTCCACATTTTCTTCATTATTCAGAGCCATATCAATCTTGTAAGAGAGTGAATGTTTTAAAGTCTCTCAAAAGTAAGTGATCCTAATACGGATTGCTTATTTAAAATCTAACCCAGAAAGCTCAAAGCAGTGACAAAACCAGTAGGCTGCAGCCTTTTCAACTTGTTTACTCTTCAGAGCCAGCTTTCCTTCACTGCCTTACTTATTCAGTACTCATTCAGAAATTGGGCAAATATCGAATACAAAGCTCATATCCCTTTGGTGTACAACATCAGCAACCCTCTTGCTCCATTGTGGTACACACCTTTCCTTTAACAAGAGAAGTAGTCTCATCAACTAAAACTGGCATCTGTGATGGTATCCATTTTGAATGAACAAAAGCCTTGCACACAAAGCCAAAGATGATGCTCCTGTTTGAACATGTGCCTATGTCTCCTCATGCTCGCATAAACAGACACATAACAGATGCAGGCATTTTTCCTACAGGTACCTTGGAAATCCACAGATACTTTGCCAAATCATTTATTATCCAAAGCCTTTTGAACACTGGCCCTACATGGGGTATAAATTTGTTTGGTACTGACCCTAGATATCAAAAGAATGAGCACAGGCCACCAGTGTACAGTGGGTGTGATCAGTCTGTGCTTATCAGTCACCTAACACTTGCAAACAATTCAAGCATACTTCCCATGCTTAGGCTGTGTTATATGACCTCTGACTGGTGGCATCTGACAGGAAGCTGGCAGAAGACATGAGCAAGCTGCACCTGTGGAAACTGGAAAGTGGCTCCAGCTGGACATCCTGCTGCACAAAGAAAAGGTGGAACCCTCGCAGAAAGCCCTGGCTGACAACACCTATAACTCATAGTACAGCTCTCCTTCCCGCTGCTTCTTTAAGGCGTAAAATTGTCTTGAGACAGAAGAAAGACTTGCTGATCTCCTGTTCCGGGGGATTAGCTAAGCAGACAGACAGGGTTTAAAAGCCCTCGGGTTTCAGGTCTGCTCTGCTAAAACCTGTATAGCAAGGTTTGAGTGGCAGAACTCAGGGTGGATGAAAACGTTTCATAGTGGTAGATACAGATGTAGGTCTGCATTTTGTCTATGGCTGCTATTTTTAAAGACAGTTAAATGTTTATTCAGGAACATAAATGGGGAGGCAAAACAGTCTTCCCAGATTGGCAGGAAAGCATTAAAGAAGAGCAGTTATAACGTTATGTTACCAGATGTAAGTACGAAGCTGCACAGGGTACATATGGCTGTAAGGGGTAATGCTACTGTAATCTTCATGGTAGCCCTCCTAGGGATTTGGCTAAAGTGCAGATCGAAGATTCAGACAGACATAAACCTGAACAACAAACAAATGCACTTCATGGTCTTACAAATGGCTGAGTGTATGAAGCATCTACAGCTATCAAGAAAATGTAACTTCATTTTCTCTCCGAAATGGATCATCAGCAGTGGTGACAACGCAAAGAAACATCGTCTTTTACAACAGATTTATACTGCTGACAGATGGTAAGTTGTGTTCTCTTTCAAAGCACCCCAACTATGTCTCAGTCCAACATGAAATGCAGCATTATGAACAGATATGTGAAATGCTCACCTGATACTATAATTCTACACATATAGTACTGTCAACTCACAGCTCAACGTGGTAGTAAAATACTATTTTCCCTTTCCATAAGCTCTGCAAAAACCACAGAAGTAATGAAACGTTAACTTATTTGTGCCAAAAAGAAGCTCTAACTTGCAAGTCAATGCTTTCTGCCTAAAGAGACAGGATGACTGCATACATTGATGCTAAATGCAGCTTAAGAAGAATAAAGAAAGGAATGAGAAGAATAAAGAAAGAGGAATGAGAAGAATAAAGAAAGAGGAATGAGAAGAATAAAGAAAGAGGAATTATGTCTGTTCTCTTCAGTAAAAACCTCTGTCCATTGTGTATAAGCTACTCAGATCAGTTGCCAGAACTGCCTAATGAAAAATGGTGCATCAAGTAATGTAGTAAATATATAGATCTCTTTGTATTAGAGCTCATTTATTTCACGACAGCTACATTAGAAATATTTACAGAAAGCCAAGTAAGAAAGCAGCTCTAAGGAATTCTCCAAAACATCATACAACCGTTTAAATAAATAACACAAAACACATTTTCCTGGTACCTCTCTCACACACAAAATCCCTCTTACCTTGTTAGCTCTTCACGTAGATTGTTGGGCTCTGATGAGTAAAACTTTACGCGAAAATGCAGACAATACGGCGGGCCAACTGCAAAGTAGAATTCATTCATGACAGTGGTAACAGTTACTGGATGAGACATCTTATTTTTTTATTACACAGAATCACATCGCAAAACTTGACTGAAATTGGCTCTGTCCCACCCACAAGGTCTTAAGGCAGGAATTGCATGAAAAACATCACGGTGAAAGGACATTAAATATATGCACAAAATAGTTTTCCATGTTACAAGTCAATCCAACAGTCATATCACATTAGGTTGATATGTCCTGCCAAGAGCACACAAATCTAGGTTAATCCCTATATTTAAGGACTCTATCCATCACCATGAAAGCTGTGCATCTTGGCTCTGTGGTTGACCAAACCCCAAGGCACTCTATTGGTCTCTAATGCCTTCCCAGGGCTCTGGGAAGTACGCCTTGCTGACAGCTCAGGCCCCTTTATTCCACAGAAGTTTAGACATATTTTAGGGGCATTTAACAGACCCTTCTGTGGAAGAATCATCTTTTCTGGAAACCAAAGAGTTAATTCAGCAAAAGGATGGATTAACAGTACTTTAAAAATGTGCAGCGCTCTGCTGATTCTTGCATTTGACAGGAGGAATTTTCTCTCTCTCAGTGCTTCCAAACCCTCTGTTGTATTAACACAGCACCACAAATCCCTGAAGACTTCCCACAGTGCAAAGCAAGGAAGCTGCTAAACAAAAATCAGCCGATGTCACAGCTTACCCAAGCACGCACCGCTGAAACAACCAGGCCACACTAAACCCTTGTGCAGCAGGCAAGGACTTGGTAGACTGAACACAGATTCGGGCATTCAAGACTGCCCCAAGGGATGGAGGCTCTGATACAAGTTTTCCTATAGTCAGGATAATGACCTATAACACTAAAATATATTCAGCTGCCTTGACTCCATTTAAACTATAATTAATGAGCCTATAACATGTTCAATTAAGGACATTAGACTAAAGTAATACGAGCTGCAGAGGGAAGAGGTCATTAAACAATCAGCAGCACCATGCTGGGTTTTTGTCACCGGGTCTTGTCACCCCTGACAGGACACTGCCCCCCACCACCCATTTCAACTCTCTGTGCCTTCTGTGTGTTCAATATGAGGTCCCAAAGGAAAACAGAAAGGAGACTTACTTTTAACTTGCTTTTTAATGCTTTTTGTGTTGTCCAACCAATGCTGAAAAATAAATTACTTTCATTGAATTATCAATAAAGAAATCTCACAGAAAGAACAGAAAAGGAAAAAAAACCCCAAACCCTACTTGTTAGTAAAGACCATCTTGGAATAACAAGTAGTTTGTTAAAACAATCTAATCCAAATCTTTCACAATCCACAGCGCTCTCAGTGCTCATCAAAGATCCTTTCACTCAAAGTTTGTAATGCAAAATGTCAGTTTTGAACAACAGAAACATCCTGTAATACCTTATGTAAAGCCAATCTTCAACAAAGCATTATTTACTTTAAAAAGAATGTACTGATAAACAACTTTAATTACTAAAATTTTCATCCTGTCCAAACAAACACTTAATTCACACATTAGTAGGTCAGCCAGTGACAATGTGCCAGAGAGGCATAAATCATAGCTGGAGACTGGCACTCAGTTGTGTGAGATGTTTACTTGGGATGGAAAGGGAGAGACAAAATAAATAGTTAGCTTTCAGGCATTTTCTTTGGATGACTCAGGCATAGTAACAGCAAAGCTGGCTATGTCTGAACACAAGGGTCAGCTCTACCTAATTCTCCAAAATCTATTCACAGGTGACATTTTAGCAGCTGTCACACAGGAAGACAGAAGTTACTGCCTCACGTAATAATGCTAATTATAAGCTATATACTAGACCTGAAGCCAAAATAATGGCTTCATTTATACTGTGTACAACAGCATGTAAAACATAAGGTATAGATGGCACATTGAAAGACGTATCTCACATATACGCTATGCTCCCTAAAATAATTGTATACACTCCCACTGCTGAAGAGTTTATATCGGAAATCAAAGATAAAGCTGGAAAGCTAACATACAGCTAGCGGTAGAGACCTACTTGCCAGTGCCCTGCATAGCGAACAGCTCCCTGCTCCAGAAGTGACTCGGTTAAACAGTAAACACAGCACCCTATTCAAAATGATTGCATTGACTCAACAGACGGAGCAAACTACCGAGCACACCACGTCCCACATGGTTCACAATGCCCAGGTAACAGCACCTCATCTGATTGATTCCAAATGTCACTTTGCAACTAATACAGATGAATTATAAACTTAGCAATGCTCCTTTCGTTAAACTATGTGTCATGAAGTTCACAGCGGGCCCCATGGAGGAAAGAAAAGCAACAGGGGTATGAGAAAGAACCGGTATTTTCAGGTTGCAATGCCAAGTGCAAACACATTCCTGTCTTCAGAGCCGCCCTGCCTTCTGCAGAGAGTGTGTAAAGTCAGCGTGTAACGCAGCCAGGATATGCAGTAATTGATGTATTAGCTGCAGATCAGAACAAGTGAACCATCTACTGCTGCTGTGCACACAGCTGAAAATGCCCTCATTACCTATTCAAACAAAATAGCTACAGAAAGCTATCGGAAATGTATCTAGTATATTTTTTAAATAAAGCAGGAAACTTAAGGAAGAACGAAGCAAATATTTATGTCAACTTTGCTTACACTACCAGCAAAATGGAGTTGAGCAAATTTTTTTTGTTTCTTTAAGAAAATTATACAATCTCTCTTCCTATTCCATAAACTCACTTGGTATAAGAGACAATTTACTTACTCCTTCCTCCACCATAAAAATATAGAAACTACCCACTTGGAGGTTTGCAGGTGATTTAGAGACAAGAATGGCAGAGCGAGCCATTTCTAGACTCCAGGACTGGCTGTACACGCCTGTTTCATCTCCCTCCTGTTTTCTCTCATCTCCTCCACATTCCATGGAAAGGCAACTGAGAGGCCTGCGACAGGCACTGATAGCATTTTACTCTGCTTGGCTGCCTACAGGAGCTCTGTCTGAATGGTAAGGGTGTGCAAGGAGGGAAACAGAACTGCTTTTAAATGGAGGGGGAGAAAACAAACAAACCAAAAAACCCCCAAAACCAACACATGCATGGACACACAGAGACGTCAGGAAACTTAAGATTTATTCCAAGTGATTAAAATGGAATTCAAGTGGACCTGGCAAAAAGTTTACATTTTGATGAGAGTTTGCTCAGCACAGTCTACTGCTGAAATCCAGCGATAAATTTTGCTAAACAAAAAGCAGTATTAACAACAGACTGCATAGTGTACTGGAAGTCCTTACTAAAACAGTTTGCTGCTTCAGAAATTTAAAAAAAAAACAAACCCAAAACTAAACCCAGCAACATTTCAAGAAGGTAGGGTAAATGAGGTTTACTTAGTAAGACTGTGAGGCTACAACTGGTCCCATACTTTATGGAATTAACGGGTACACACTTAGGGCAATGCTATACAAATAATCTTCAACATTAAGCACTACATTATACAAAACTGCCAGAGTAACAAACCAATGTTTTGTATAATTCCATTAGGAAGAACAAGTTATTTGATACTTGCAACCTGTGTGTGTGTGTGTGTATATATTTATATCACCAGGTGCAACTACCTAGCAAGGCAATATACTTAGATTTAAATTGGGTAGCAGAAAGATTATCTCCTTCAGAGTCAGGAGACAATTCTGTCCACAGTAAGTGACTGGAGTCTTACACTGTTTATTTAACAGGTCTCCTGAATAATCTTTGACAAGTCACTTGATTAGTCTGTCTTTGTTTCCAGCTGCAGATAGAGTTTCTGCTAGAATGTGCCAGCTCCTCCTGAAAGAACGGCTGCCATCACAACAGTTCTTAAAGCAACTATCTCTGGCTGCTGTGTTCAGGTCTTCTGGCAAAATGCAATCTTTTCTGCTTCATTGTAGAGAGTGCATCATTAAAGTCCAGTTTAAACAGATTGTTATCTCTACTCTGCCTCTTTTCAGTCACACATAATTAAGAAAAGGAAGCAAAGTAAGTTTGAAATTGCTTCTACCTGGTAGATTGTACAGTATCAAATACTCAATCAGGTGCTGTCTGGACTGGAAGTTACAATTTTCTGGACAAAAGGAAGCTATGAGCCATTGCTGAGGCAGAAAAGATTAACCCTTATTTCCCTGTTTCAAAATGAAATGTTTAGCAAATGTTACTTGCTAACAGAACAGTAAGAGAAAAAAAGCTTACCATGGAGATAGTTTCACCAGTTATAACTAACCCACTGTGAACTCTTATGAGATCCTAGAGGCGTATGGAAATACTTTAGAGGCCATAAGGCAGAAACTGAGCTAGGATACCTAAAATGTACAGATTATTTTTTTCCTGAAGCAAAAAGATAAATGCAATGGAGTCATTCACTATCGATACTCAACAACCTAGACCGCACAGGCTTAATACGGCTAACATGATTTTTATAAATATGAAATGGTATGCAAAGGGCTGTTTTCTAATTCCTGTTGGTAGGAGGTATGCATTTTTTTGAATTACATCCCTCCATTATTTTAATGGTCTTTTTCTCCTTAGTGTTAAACATCTCTGTTCTGCAAGATGTTTAAGACCACTTTCACTACTGGAAACTACAGTCCAGCAACAGCTAATCCCACTAGCCATGAAGTTTGCTTCAGATGCTGAACACAAATTATTTTCTCCGAAGAGAATGTTCTCTACAATTACAAGCTAAGCATAAGACTCGATTGCAATAATTTTGGAAAGAAGCCATCAGGTTGTAAGTGTGCTTTGGGGTGGGTAACAGTATAGTCCAAAACTATCACCTTCTTTCAAAGATTCAAGACTGGGGAGTTTTTTGCCATTGTACAAAGCTGTTTAAGATGTCACCTTCAAATTGTTCTGGACATAGACACTCACAGAAGTGAAGGAATATATGTCATTGCCTGCATTTTGTGTGCTGGCCTCGAACAATTCAGGTATTTAGCTCAGTAGCAACTGTCTGTGCTTCCACTCTGCCATCCTAATCATGAGATAATTCTGAAGTGGACTTGAAAAACAGAAACAATTAGGTCACATATCTAACAAATAAGATTGACATACACAGCATGAAAACTCAGATCTCATTCTACCTGGGGATGTTGGGGTAAGCAAATACAGGTTTAAGTTACAAGGATGCAGGACAGAGACAAAAATCCACTGCTTGTCTAACACCTCACTTAACTTGCAGCTATCTTTGCGGGTAGGATTAAGTACAGGGCCGTAAAAAGTATCTATATAAAAATGCACAACCTGCAAGTTAAAGAACTGTGGTTGCTTCTGACAAACAGTGCTCTGCTGCTCTTTTCAAAAGCAGTCACATTTTTACAAGCATACAACAGACTTCACGAACTCAGGCTTGCAAGAACCCTCTACTCAAACTGTCTGGTACATACAGACACACTTACATCCTCCCAAAAATTTCTAGTTGCGGGTCTGAGTCACAACTGATTTGAGCAAATCAAAGGCATTCCCCTCTTGCCAGGATTATTTCCCAAGCAGATGTTAACAAGATGATTTTTGCAGATGAGAAAATTGATGTCATTGGCAAAGGGCCAAGCATACACTCTAGTTTTGCCCCTTCCTCTCTGCATCAGCAGCATCAAGAATTTCTACATGACGCGCCAGCCTCTGGAGTCCTACTACCAGCCTGCCTAATGACAAGAGAATGCGTGGCAGGAACAAGTGGAAGACAAGAAAGGAAGAGATGACAGCATTGTAATATGTTAGAGTGCTCAAGGTGGAATTAAACTTAGGGTCACTTAAACTAACATACCCCAGAGCTTCTGCACAGAAATTAACTGAAAAAAGGCAGCTTTCTTAAAGCATTTTTGTCAATATTAAGATTTAACTTTCAGACTGTTGCTGGAAAGAAAAAAAAAAAAAAAAAAAAAGGCACTGCTACTCACCGCCACTTGTGCTGAATCCATGAACCTTAATCCAAAGTAGTCGCTTTCTATAAGGTCCAGATGATACATGATCTGTTCAAACAGGAGCTGGCCTTTAGCTTTTTTCTGAAAATATAAAAGGATTTAGTACTTAGCAGGCACATTTACACCCCACAAAAAGCACACATAATATCCTTAAAGGACCTGCATAATCTCCTTTTTTGGAAAATGACAACATCGCCTTGCACAACACAGCATGTTAAAAAGTTACTGCATCATTGTCCCTTTTAGGCTTTCCTTACTCAAGTTCAACAGAACTGGAAATATAGCTAGTACAATTGCTATAACTAATTTTCAGAGCAAAGCATAGCAAATTACTTACAAATTTACTACTGTTTGATATCTAGGCAATTTACCAATTTTGAAGCAAGTAGCAAACCATATTAAATTAGGATATAGCATTCCATTAGCAAGTGCTTTTAACAACTTCCAGGAAAGAGTCTGGGGCACGCAGCTTTAAGAAAGAGTACTAAGATAACACATTTACAAAAGTAAGTTCATAAAACTCACTTGTAGGTGCAAAAAGCCACTGCATATGCTTATATATAATTTATGAAAAAACTTAGCTCTCGCCCCAAGTTAACATCATTTTTACAGTGATAATCTAAAAAATTAAACAGTTGTTTTTAAAGAGAAGGCATGTAAATAGCACTGGGCAGTTTCTACACAACATACATTTTTCATGCTATGAGCTCCTTTATAGTAATACACCAAAAGAAAAGCTGAACAGTAATACCTGAAATGCCTAAATGTAATAAACATACATTAATAAATTAGTAGGTCAGAGTACAAGTCATGGTGTTGAAATTTTTCAATGCATAGAAATGCAGAAAGGATCTATGCCTAACCTGCAAGCAGTTTACGGATTTTTCTATTTCCATAATGCTATCATCTTGCAATCTTTTAATATTTATACATTCACAACTTGAGAAATGGGCACACTCTCTAAGCATATTTTTTAGTAACCTACTAATTAGCAGGTTTAGTCCACCTCTCAAAATTCTGGACCAGCCAAAATTCTTATTCTCAGAAATAATCTGATTTAATCATCAAGTAATATCCATGTAAGTAAAGCAGCATGCATAATTTTTGCCACCTTCCTCTATCCCGATCTTCAAATATTTTATATTCAACTTTGCAATCGTAATCATTGCAATCAAGCATCACTCAATGCGTTAGTTAAATCCCACATGACATTTCAGAGCTCAAAGCAATATCTCAGAAAAGTCTGTAAACTGAATCTGCCTAAGCAAGTTCTCCCACAGTTACTGATTTCCAAGTATTGGGGCAGACAGGGAGAATGGAAGGCAATTAGACCAGCAGGCAACTTCACATATACACAACATCTACAAAGCATTGTGTAATGAAAATGCCAAGATGTAGACTTCATCAAACTTGTTGAGGGAAATTTTCTTCTGTTGACTGCAAGAAAAAGTACTTCTTGGGCAGTAGCCGACTTATTAAACAATACTCTCCTAAGAGAAGCCTTAATGCAAATTGCCCACATCTAGAACCTCACATTTCTTCCACTATTTGAGTCTGTAGCCTCTTTCTTGAAAGAGCCAGGCATTGAACTGTTGATAATTTCTCTCAGGATATCTTCTGCTTAAACAGTAAGATACACTAACACATGGTGAAATCAATTCAGCATTTGCAACAGCAAAACTAGAAAAATCTTTTCTTTTGCATGAAGCTTTCTGCACCTGGTCTAAAACTAGAGGAAAATCTCCCCTTATTCGGCAGAACATTTTTGGATCCTTTTCAATTCCTCAGTAAGTAATCTCCTAAAACTGTAATTAACCAGTTATCTCAGCCAAATTCTCTCCCAGGGACAGGCAATGGAGCACGTCAACTCCAGCCTGGAATTACCACATGTACTATTCTCAGAATACCAACAACCCAAACTTACTATAGTTCAAAAGCGGGTTCACCATTTAGGTAATCTCAGTAAAGGACTCAAAGATCAAGTGGACCCAGACTGACTAACGTGGGAGAAAGTCCCTGAAGAATAGCGTTGGAGCAGCTGCGGAAAGGGTTGCAGGGCTGCTGGTTGTTTTCTGACTTATATCACCAAGGCTGTCAACATGGAATTAATTATGCAGTAGTTTGCATATGACTTAAACCATTGGGGACTGTATTCGGTGCGAGTCAGCAAAAGTTTCATGCCTGCTTTGATGTTAAATTCAAATCCTTTCTTAAAGCCTTACAAAAGTCCTTCCTCCTTATATTTAAACAAACGGCAACCAAAAATACTATTGCTTTATAACCAGTCCATTTTTATGAATCAAAATTAATTTCTTTGTATTCAATAAAACTGTGATCTCCAGTGTTTTCGAAAGACATAGCAAAGATACACTTTTATTTCATTTTCTGGTGAAAAACTACCGTAACTTTCTAATGGTAACATTCAATTTAAATGACATTTTTATCCTGCTGCTGCCCCTTGCTTCCCCTCCCCCCCCCCCAAAAACCCCCCCCCAATTTCTTTTGATTGCAGCAAGAGCTCAGATTACTCTCAGAGGACAAATATTTTCAAGCTGCTTCATGGTTACCGATGAACTACTAACGACTCCACTCACAAGCAAGTCCAGCCAGTGACTGGTCCTCCCTTCAGGGCACAAATTAAACTCCTGGGTTTGTAATTCTGTAAAACCCGACTACATGATTTACAGTTTGCTATACTCTCTAGGAAGCAACAGCAAACATCTCACAGCAGGAGAATCAACAACCAAACGGGGAAACTTAAATAAAATGTATCATTTATATAGGGCAGGTCATCTAGTGGTTTTGCCACACTTTGGAATGAGATGAAAGCATTTTTTGATTGCTTTGGCATGAATCATGCCCCTCCCCACCCCTGAACGGAGGGGATGCTCCCAACCATGTCCTAATGGCATCTCATGCTGCTCTTAATAACTGCAATTGCTGGCTGAGTAGGTGTTACAAAGGCTGGACTTAACCCCGGTAGCTCAGTAGCAAGGCTGGGTAAAGCCTCGGCAGGCTGGTTTGTCCCTTCATCACCGGAATGAAGTGATACGGAGACATTTACCTTGGCTCAGGCATCTCAGTCACTGCCTAAAACCAGAGAGGCAGCATTTATACCCTCTTCTGGTCTGAGAGGTGACGGTTATTTCAGGGACACGCATTCAAAAGCATAAGCCAGCAACTCGGTGCTCCACACCTTGCCTGCCTGATGTAAAAGCCATTTTCAGTACCAGCCGCAGCCAGTACAGACCAGCACTGGTGAAGCACCACAGGTTGGGGATGGCACCCTTGTGCTGGGCAGGCACCGCCGAATGGCTCACTTTGTCAGGTTTTTATTAGGTTTTTAATCACAGCAAAGCACTTCGAACTTCGAAAACTTGAAAAAAAACCCAAACAACAAAACCACCAAAACCCCAAACCAAACAAACCCACAAAAAGCCCACCTGGTGAATTTACTAACTAAAATGCTTATCAGAAAAGGACTTTTTCCTCCTTTTTATTTCTTTTCTTTGTGAAGAAAAGGAAGTCCCTATGTAAGATGAACTCCAAAAAAAAGAGATAGACTTCTCATTCATGGGAGTTACCACCCCTTGTGTCTTTGCAGCTGTACTCTTCTGTCCGATTTCTTCAAATGAGCATGTAAATATTGCTTATTAACAACAAATAACAGGAGCTATCGCCTTCAGTAGCTACTGAAGGGCAAACCCCTCCCTTCCTGTTTTTTGTCAATTCATTCGGAGGGTTACCATTCACATTCATACCAGTTGCCTCAGAAAGACCCTGTTTACCCCCCTGGAGAAGCTAGGGACACCTATTCAGGATTTACAACTACCCAGTTGCTAGGATGTCACCTATGCATGTTTGCAGACCACAACAGTGCGGGAACAGCAGATGAGCCTGTCCATGTTTTTATGAAGTTAATCCCCTTTCTCCCAAACATGTTTCAAAAAAATAAGCCATGAGAAAGCTCCAACAGTGAACATTATAGGAAAGATTTAATCTCAGTATCATGAAAACAGTATAATTAATATAATTAAGGTTTGCTGGAGAATTGGAGGGTTAAAACCCCTTAATCTTTACAAAGGCAGTGTACACATCATTTGTACAAAGTACACATTATTTGTATCAACCTGATCTTCTTATAGCTTTAAGTACTGACCTACAAATGGAGTTGTTCTTCTTCTCAAACTCCAAGCATCAATCTTTCAACTAACTTTTCCAAACTCCCCAGTCAATTTTCTCCTTCATGTAAAGATGCCACTGGCAGCAAAGCACCAGTTCTGCTTCTGTCTCTGGTTTATCCCCAGCCCTTGACAACATGCACCATATATTCTTGTACTGAGTAAAAAGCCCTGCAGGCTGGAAGGCTAGAGAGAAGAATTTCTGCCTCTGGCGACAGAACTTATCAATTCTTCTATTTACTCAATATCTTCCAAATATAGGAAGATAACCATTTGAGATTAAACTTTTTGTTCTGTTATTCTCTGGAGAAAGAAGAAGGCACCTCCCAAAAATCTTTGTGAAGAATTGATTTCCATACTCATTATAACTGTATGCTTATTAGGATATTGAAGGATTTTAATGTACTGTGCTCAGGCTTATTGACCTTATACATAAAAAGATAAAGATTCAAAACATTCATACCTGTCCGTTTGTTTTGCCAGAAGTCTCTTATTTTTCCTCTCCTAGAAAGTTTGTATCTTCTAGTTACGCGTTTGATTTAATCCATTTCTGAATCTAACTCCTAATGTTCTTTCTGATACAGAATATATCCAAACTGCTTGTCCAGCATTAAGATTTAGAGATTAAATACCTTCCCCCAGCATATTCTCAAACATTTCAGTTTTATTTGGTGTTCCACCTGCAGGTTTCTCAGGAGCAGTCTGGTTAAAAGCATATGAGAATCAAAGTCTTTCCCAGGGGCAGTTCAGTGGGAAAGCAGGGCTTCAGACAAAATTCTCTGTTATGCTGTGAGTTAGGAATGCTAAACCTTTGGGCAACTAGATCAGCCTGCAGCATCATCCCCAGAAGCACTCGGCAGCACACTGCAGGCCAAACAAATCACTCTGATAGCAGCCACA